CACCCCCACCCCCACTTTCAGCTATGGATTGCCTGTTAAAAACCCAACCAGATTTGTGGGAGATTATTCACTAGATATTAGCGATTTACAGCAATCTGAAACACTCTGCTTAAATGCAGGATATGATTTCCAATGTTTTAAAAAGGAATAAGATAGCCAAGTTGACCTGACCACAGCCATTTCATTAGTCATAGCCTTTCTAACAGCAGAAATTCAAGACACACTTTTTCTTCCATTACAAAACATATTGGGTATAAACAGATGACTTGAGGAGAATTAATTTCATTGCAGTAGAAAAAGAAACCAAAGTCTCTTTTTTTAATCTTAGCAACATATATAAACCATATTTTAAAACATGGTTTAGGTGGGTACAAATTCACTACAGACTGATTTATTTTAGATCTCTTGGCAATTTTGCTACTTGCTACTTACTAAAATCTTGGTATTTTACTGTATGTAAGTTTGAATCTGGCTTTCAGGTTTCTGGACAAGCATATGCCCAGCACAGATAGATGCTTACCTATTCTTACCACTGTAAAATGTATTTCAAAGAAGTTTTAAAAACAAATATATTGTGACAGGGTCTTCATTTGGCAGTTGGCAAAAAAGAATGTAAGTTCTTGGCGGCTAATGAAAACCTCTCCTACCCAGAGATAATTAAAGAGAGGAAAAATAGAATTCCCGGTTGAATGCATTTTTAAATCATGCTTTTTCTAAAGGCCTAGTTCAAAGTTCCTCCAAAATGTAACCTCATAACATTCAGGCATTCAAGTGGGCAAGGCAGAGAGAGACAGAGATTAGTCATTGGTGACCCAGGGGACTTCGTGATTGAATAGAGACTTCAACTTTCAACCAAAAATGGTGCCATATTATTTGGAAGGGTTTCTAAAATATGCTGATAACTTATCGTTTTGTACAAAGGAAAGGGAATCTCATTTTACAGAGATGTTAAGCCATACCTCCTACTCTTTTCCCAACCAGCCTATTTGAAGAAGAGTTCTTGAAACTCCAAAGTGTGCAGCCATTCTATAAAATTCTGGTTGGTCTAATAAATGTATTTTCTATATGGATTTTGGAGTTTTTATATAACCAATCTCCTTACAATAGCTTCTTATGGGAGTATATTTCATCTTTCCTGGGTCTGATAGCACCTATCTGAAGATGCATAATGCTTTCATTTTGAGATGTACGGACTTCATCTGATGGTAATTCAGGTTCTCAGACTGAAGATACGTGGTAGTCATGTCCAGAGAAAACTGCCCCTTCTTCACAAAAGAGACAGGTCTCCTCCCCTTTACATCAAAAGAGCATCAGAAGAAAACCAGAACTTCCCCAGAGTAATTTGCCTATATATAGGTTTCTCAATGGAAAGTAGAGATACTTTCTAGAATACTTGTGTTGTTAGTTTAATTTAGTTCTTAATAACGCTTTGTTCTTGAGTTTAGCTGCTTCCACTCCAGGCTACTACCTGGATAGGTATCTTTACGTGAGCCATTCTAGTGTACTGAAAATAAAATATGCACACATTCTATTTATGACTTTTCTCTAGGCTGTACAAGTATATTTTCTAAGATACTCCATTCCATTCCTTCTTCAAGGATAATCCATTTCATTCTTCCTCCTCTAATAATCAACCAGAATTCCAATGGATACTGAACAAGCTTGCACGCCATCATCATCATCATCTTTATTCCGGTCATTGACCAATTAAAAATAGATACAATAAAACAGACAACAATATTACCCCTTTCATCAATAACTACTAGCAA